CTTATTGGTCACATGGTATCGTACTTATTGGTCACATGGTATCGTACTTATTGGTCACATGGTATCGTACTTATTGGTCACATGGTATCGTACTTATTGGTCACATGGTATCGTACTTATTGGTCACATGGTATCGTACTTATTGGTCACATGGTATCGTACTTATTGGTCACATGGTATCGTACTTATTGGTCACATGGTATCGTACTTATTGGTCACATGGTATCGTACTTATTGGTCACATGGTATCGTACTTATTGGTCACATGGTATCGTACTTATTGGTCACATGGTATCGTACTTATTGGTCACATGGTATCGTACTTATTGGTCACATGGTATCGTACTTATTGGTCACATGGTATCGTACTTATTGGTCACATGGTATCGTACTTATTGGTCACATGGTATCGTACTTATTGGTCACATGGTATCGTACTTATTGGTCACATGGTATCGTACTTATTGGTCACATGGTATCGTACTTATTGGTCACATGGTATCGTACTTATTGGTCACATGGTATCGTACTTATTGGTCACATGGTATCGTACTTATTGGTCACATGGTATCGTACTTATTGGTCACATGGTATCGTACTTATTGGTCACATGGTATCGTACTTATTGGTCACATGGTATCGTACTTATTGGTCACATGGTATCGTACTTATTGGTCACATGGTATCGTACTTATTGGTCACATGGTATCGTACTTATTGGTCACATGGTATCGTACTTATTGGTCACATGGTATCGTACTTATTGGTCACATGGTATCGTACTTATTGGTCACATGGTATCGTACTTATTGGTCACATGGTATCGTACTTATTGGTCACATGGTATCGTACTTATTGGTCACATGGTATCGTACTTATTGGTCACATGGTATCGTACTTATTGGTCACATGGTATCGTACTTATTGGTCACATGGTATCGTACTTATTGGTCACATGGTATCGTACTTATTGGTCACATGGTATCGTACTTATTGGTCACATGGTATCGTACTTATTGGTCACATGGTATCGTACTTATTGGTCACATGGTATCGTACTTATTGGTCACATGGTATCGTACTTATTGGTCACATGGTATCGTACTTATTGGTCACATGGTATCGTACTTATTGGTCACATGGTATCGTACTTATTGGTCACATGGTATCGTACTTATTGGTCACATGGTATCGTACTTATTGGTCACATGGTATCGTACTTATTGGTCACATGGTATCGTACTTATTGGTCACATGGTATCGTACTTATTGGTCACATGGTATCGTACTTATTGGTCACATGGTATCGTACTTATTGGTCACATGGTATCGTACTTATTGGTCACATGGTATCGTACTTATTGGTCACATGGTATCGTACTTATTGGTCACATGGTATCGTACTTATTGGTCACATGGTATCGTACTTATTGGTCACATGGTATCGTACTTATTGGTCACATGGTATCGTACTTATTGGTCACATGGTATCGTACTTATTGGTCACATGGTATCGTACTTATTGGTCACATGGTATCGTACTTATTGGTCACATGGTATCGTACTTATTGGTCACATGGTATCGTACTTATTGGTCACATGGTATCGTACTTATTGGTCACATGGTATCGTACTTATTGGTCACATGGTATCGTACTTATTGGTCACATGGTATCGTACTTATTGGTCACATGGTATCGTACTTATTGGTCACATGGTATCGTACTTATTGGTCACATGGTATCGTACTTATTGGTCACATGGTATCGTACTTATTGGTCACATGGTATCGTACTTATTGGTCACATGGTATCGTACTTATTGGTCACATGGTATCGTACTTATTGGTCACATGGTATCGTACTTATTGGTCACATGGTATCGTACTTATTGGTCACATGGTATCGTACTTATTGGTCACATGGTATCGTACTTATTGGTCACATGGTATCGTACTTATTGGTCACATGGTATCGTACTTATTGGTCACATGGTATCGTACTTATTGGTCACATGGTATCGTACTTATTGGTCACATGGTATCGTACTTATTGGTCACATGGTATCGTACTTATTGGTCACATGGTATCGTACTTATTGGTCACATGGTATCGTACTTATTGGTCACATGGTATCGTACTTATTGGTCACATGGTATCGTACTTATTGGTCACATGGTATCGTACTTATTGGTCACATGGTATCGTACTTATTGGTCACATGGTATCGTACTTATTGGTCACATGGTATCGTACTTATTGGTCACATGGTATCGTACTTATTGGTCACATGGTATCGTACTTATTGGTCACATGGTATCGTACTTATTGGTCACATGGTATCGTACTTATTGGTCACATGGTATCGTACTTATTGGTCACATGGTATCGTACTTATTGGTCACATGGTATCGTACTTATTGGTCACATGGTATCGTACTTATTGGTCACATGGTATCGTACTTATTGGTCACATGGTATCGTACTTATTGGTCACATGGTATCGTACTTATTGGTCACATGGTATCGTACTTATTGGTCACATGGTATCGTACTTATTGGTCACATGGTATCGTACTTATTGGTCACATGGTATCGTACTTATTGGTCACATGGTATCGTACTTATTGGTCACATGGTATCGTACTTATTGGTCACATGGTATCGTACTTATTGGTCACATGGTATCGTACTTATTGGTCACATGGTATCGTACTTATTGGTCACATGGTATCGTACTTATTGGTCACATGGTATCGTACTTATTGGTCACATGGTATCGTACTTATTGGTCACATGGTATCGTACTTATTGGTCACATGGTATCGTACTTATTGGTCACATGGTATCGTACTTATTGGTCACATGGTATCGTACTTATTGGTCACATGGTATCGTACTTATTGGTCACATGGTATCGTACTTATTGGTCACATGGTATCGTACTTATTGGTCACATGGTATCGTACTTATTGGTCACATGGTATCGTACTTATTGGTCACATGGTATCGTACTTATTGGTCACATGGTATCGTACTTATTGGTCACATGGTATCGTACTTATTGGTCACATGGTATCGTACTTATTGGTCACATGGTATCGTACTTATTGGTCACATGGTATCGTACTTATTGGTCACATGGTATCGTACTTATTGGTCACATGGTATCGTACTTATTGGTCACATGGTATCGTACTTATTGGTCACATGGTATCGTACTTATTGGTCACATGGTATCGTACTTATTGGTCACATGGTATCGTACTTATTGGTCACATGGTATCGTACTTATTGGTCACATGGTATCGTACTTATTGGTCACATGGTATCGTACTTATTGGTCACATGGTATCGTACTTATTGGTCACATGGTATCGTACTTATTGGTCACATGGTATCGTACTTATTGGTCACATGGTATCGTACTTATTGGTCACATGGTATCGTACTTATTGGTCACATGGTATCGTACTTATTGGTCACATGGTATCGTACTTATTGGTCACATGGTATCGTACTTATTGGTCACATGGTATCGTACTTATTGGTCACATGGTATCGTACTTATTGGTCACATGGTATCGTACTTATTGGTCACATGGTATCGTACTTATTGGTCACATGGTATCGTACTTATTGGTCACATGGTATCGTACTTATTGGTCACATGGTATCGTACTTATTGGTCACATGGTATCGTACTTATTGGTCACATGGTATCGTACTTATTGGTCACATGGTATCGTACTTATTGGTCACATGGTATCGTACTTATTGGTCACATGGTATCGTACTTATTGGTCACATGGTATCGTACTTATTGGTCACATGGTATCGTACTTATTGGTCACATGGTATCGTACTTATTGGTCACATGGTATCGTACTTATTGGTCACATGGTATCGTACTTATTGGTCACATGGTATCGTACTTATTGGTCACATGGTTCTGGTCTGATCCTGGTCTGGCTCTTGTCTGATCCTGGTCTGGTCCTGGTCTGGTTCTGCTTTGGTCCTTACTGGTCCTGGTCTGGTCCTGGTCTGGTCTGATCTGGTTCTGGTCTGGCTCTGGCCTGATCCTGGTCTGGTTCTGGTCTGGTTCTGGTCTGATCCTGGTCTGGCTCTGGTCTGATCCTGGTCTGATCCTGGTCTGGTCCTGGTCTGGTTCTGGTCTGGCTCTGGCCTGATCCTGGTCTGGTTCTGGTCTGGTTCTGGTCTGATCCTGGTCTGGCTCTGGTCTGATCCTGGTCTGGTCCTGGTCTGATCCTGGTCTGGTCCTGGTCTGGTTCTGGTCTGGCTCTGGTCTGATCCTGGTCTGGTTCTGGTTTGGTCCTGGTCTGGTCCTGGTCTGGTCCTGGTCTGGTTCTGGTCTGATCCTGGTCTGGTTCTGGTTTGGTCCTGGTCTGGTTCTGGTCTGGTTCTGGTCTGGTTCTGGTCTGGTTCTGGTCTGGTTCTGGTCTGGTTCTGGTCTGGTTCTGGTCTGGTTCTGGTCTGGTTCTGGTCTGGTTCTGGTCTGGTTCTGGTCTGATCCTGGTCTGGTCCTGGTCTGGTTCTGGTCTGATCCTGGTCTGGTTCTGGTCTGGCTCTGGCCTGATCCTGGTCTGGTCCTAGTTCTAAGCCAGTGCCAGTTACCATAGCAACACACTGTCTACTTGCAGCAGTTAGCATTTGTTCTTTAGCATTAGCCTTTTGACAAACTGTTTTTTGCTGTATTTGAAGGATTTAAAATCGGTTAAGATGAACTAGAAACTACTTCCTGTCTAGAACCAGGAAGTACGCTCACATTAGTCCAGTTCTCAGGTCTCTGCACTTCACAGTTCTGCTTCAGCTGTTAATACTCAGCTATTCTTTTATTGTACAGTAATTATCATGTGTTTTTTTGTGTGATTGTTGTTTTTTAGTTGTTTTTATCACTTTAATGTTATACTTTTGCTTCAGTCTTTTGTTTGTATCTTTTATGTACAATATGAACGTGTACGTCTGCATTTACACTGGTTGATGCAGAACCACGACACCTGCTGGTCAGACATGAACATTGCACCTTCTGCAGTTCCCTTTGTGTCCACCAGAGGTCTCCGCTGTGTCGTCATGACGCTGCACACGTCACTTCCTCCTTCCTCACTGCAGCTGCACCAAAAGGTAAAACTGAGCCGCTCTCTGCAGATTTAAAGCTAAATACTAAAAACCCTTTAGTTTGAACATTATTTTAAGTTTATGATGATGAGCTTCTCTTTCCTGTCACGTGTGAGCGCGAAGAAATAGTTAAAACCTTTTATTTTCATAGAAATCTCCAACATTCCCGACGTACATTGGTTATCAGTGAAGATATGAGGTGTTTTTTCTGTTAACGCAGGTGTTGTAAGAAACATCTGCGTTTGAAGCTAACGGTGGTGACTGTAAATGATCTATTTTTTTCAGTTTTATCATTTAAAACTATCTCCTGCTGCTCCACGTGGTTAGCCGTTAGCATTAGCCACACTACACATGTGCCTGCAGTGAGTGGTAAAAGTGCAAACAGTCTGGAATGTAAAGTATATTGAGATTGTAGTTAAGCCCTGTATCTATGATTGGACCTGTTCCTCTCTCTGTGAGCTGCACTGGGCTCTGAAGGCCCTGACGAGGTTCACTGAAAAGACGGAAATTATCAAAACGTATTAATTAAAAACGTTAATGTTTTTGTTTTGCAGGTGCGTGTTCATCGACAGACGTCAGTTCTCCGCCGTTTTTCAAAGTATGTGACCTGTACTATTTCACTTCTGTTTAGGCATGGTTTATATATGCTGTTTTCACCTCAGAAGTCATTATTGATCCTATAAATCTTGGACCTTCCATGACAATGAGGTTTTAAACTATATTACTAGTATTATTGTGAGGATCGCTGTAGGAATTCAATGAAATATTAACTGCAATTCTCTAGATTGGTCTGAACATGTGTAAGTACTCTCTGTGATGAGCTGCACTGGGCTCTGAGTGAACCTGAAGTGAAAGTGCACCTCTGGCCCTGACAAGCCCGAGTTTCTGACCAGAAAGTTTACACTTAAAGAGGAGAATGTACAAAACTATTTATTATTAACATTGTTTTTGTTTTGCAGATGTATTGTCGGCAGTTTGCTCGCCCACGTTTTTCAAGGTACGTAACCTGCTCTGACTTCTAATAATGCTATTTTATAACTTGGAGAAGTGTAAAGTAAGTAAAATTACACACGAGACGGTTTCATAGTGAAGGGTGTTTTCTTTACTTTCCCTCTGAGTGATGAGCTTGGTCTGAAGTTAAAAGTGCTCCTCTGGCCCTGACGAGGAACTGAGGCAGAAATGACACTAATGTCAAATGAATACACACCGTAACATTAGGATGTGTCTGACAGGATCCGATGGCCATGACGTCATGTGACATCACCTGCTTTGCTTCAGTGAAGAACATGTGACATCACCTGCTTTGCTTCAGTGAAGAGGAACATGTGACATCACCTGCTTTGCTTCAGTGAAGAACATGTGACATCACCTGCTTTGCTTCAGTGAAGAGGTACGTTCTATTGTGATCCACGATGCAAAAGTCTTTCAAACACAAACTCAGACAGTTGTTCTTCTGTGATGAGTTGCACTGGGCTCTGAATGAAACTGAAGAGAGAAGGTGCACCTCGGGCCCTGACAAGCCCGAGTCTCTGAAGAAGGCAATATTTTAAATCAAAATGTATTGACTCGTTTATATACAGTCAGATCGGCCTCCGGCTACAACCAGCCCCTCACTGATCCAGGGGGGTCCAGGGGGGGTCCAGGGGAGAATAAACCTGTTTGTTTTAGCTGCCTCACACACCAAAGCTGGAAAAACTGAGGCAGTAGAATGACAGATGACTTCTTTGACAGATGCAGTGAACGTGAGGCTGAGATGGAGACCGTGTTTCCTTAAAGGTAATGTAGAAAACTGTACAATTCTGTCTAGTTTTAACTTTGTGGTTAAACATCCTCAATCTGCAAAGTTTTATTTTGTCTTGTGGAGTTTTGATGAGTCTCTGAATGAACCTAAAGTGAGAACTACGACAAAATGAACCTTTTTGAATTGATAAGAGATATGAACTAATGTCAAAGTTTTATCTTTCCCATTATTTCAAAGTAATTTAAAGAAAGTCTAGGATGGAAAGTTTCAGGCTCATTAATGTTCCCACTATCACTCATTTTTAGTCCTTCAATAGAGTAAATGGTTATTCAGGCGTAATTATTTGTTAGTATTTACATAAACTATATTTAACAGCATTATACCTTTTTTAGTAAATACTAAAAAAGGTTTAATCTCTTTAAAGAGGGCGACAGTAGCTCAGTTGGTAGAGCATTGGCCTTAAGGCCAGAAGGTTGTGGGTTAAATTCCCACCTCTGCACCTTCTCCACCGACTCCCACTGATGACTGCTGTCGTTGTGTCCTTGGGCAAGACACTTAACCCCACTTTGCCCAAAGCCCCCACTGAAAGATCAAGGCTATGCTCACACTCAGAGAGCAGCCTCCTGTGGACTCACCACCTGCAGAGGGTCAGTGAGGGGCTGGTGCTATGAGACTTCCTGACCCAGAAATGGATTAAAGGGAAGAAAATGGATGGATGGTTTAATCTCACGTTTTAGTGGCAAGTATTATTACTCCATGATTTCCCTTATTCCTTGATCAATTGTAGTTTTTGTCGCACTGATGAGTGGCACTGGGCTCTGAATGAACCTGAAGTTAAAGTGCACCTCGGGCCCTGACAAGTCCGAGTCTCTGACGACAAACACACCATGGATTTGTTTCAATTAAATATATTTAAACTAACGGTGTGTTTCTGATCCTGTTGTTTCAGACGGAGAACTGAGGCCACAGTGGGTCTGTCAGAGATGATCCGAGCGACAGACTGGGGGGAGAGGGAGATGGCTGAGAGGGAGATGGCTGAGAGGGAGATGGCTGAGAGGGAGATGGCGGAGAGGGAGATGGCGGAGAGGGAGATGGCGGAGAGGGAGATGGCGGAGAGGGAGATGGCTGAGAGGGAGATGGCTGAGAGGGAGATGGCTGAGAGGGAGATGGCTGAGAGGGAGATGGCTGAGAGGGAGATGGCTGAGAGGGAGATGGCTGAGAGGGAGATGGCGAGAGGGAGATGGCGGAGAGGGAGATGGCGGAGAGGGAGATGGCGGAGAGGGAGATGGCGGAGAGGGAGATGGCGGAGAGGGAGATGGCGGAGAGGGAGATGGCGGAGAGGGAGATGGCGGAGAGGGAGATGGCGGAGAGGGAGATGGCGGAGAGGGAGATGGCGGAGAGGGAGATGGCGGAGAGGGAGATGGCGAGAGGGAGATGGCGAGAGGGAGATGGCTGAGAGGGAGATGGCTGAGAGGGAGATGGCTGAGAGGGAGATGGCTGAGAGGGAGGAGAGGGAGATGGCTGAGGAGATGAGAGGGAGATGGCTGAGAGGGAGATGGCTGAGAGGGAGATGGCTGAGAGGGAGATGGCTGAGAGGGAGATGGCTGAGAGGGAGATGGCTGAGAGGGAGATGGCTGAGAGGGAGATGGCTGAGAGGGAGATGGCTGAGAGGGAGATGGCTGAGAGGGAGATGGCTGAGAGGGAGATGGCTGAGAGGGAGATGGCTGAGAGGGAGATGGCTGAGAGGGAGATGGCTGAGAGGGAGATGGCTGAGAGGGAGATGGCTGAGAGGGAGATGGCTGAGAGGGAGATGGCGGAGAGGGAGACCTGAGGCTGGAGTTAAGGAGCCGCCGCAGAAACTAAACCTGGAGAGTTCAGATCAGAGTTGAAGTTGTCAGAAATATTAATGTTTTAAATAAAGATCTTTCAATTTCTTTCAAAAACGTGTATTTTTTTTAATGCAGACTTTTCCATGTTTTTGCACAAATCGACAGCGTTCCTTAAAGTTGATTAAGTCCATGGACCAAACCCTGGATCACTTTGATGCTGCAGCAATAATAAAGTCTTAAAGACTCTTCAATCATCTTTGTGAATGAGGGAAGCTCATTTTCACCTGTTTCAAAATGTGGGTTTTAAGAGTCAAAGTTGTTCTGTCAAGATGATCTGGCTCAGCTGTTAATAATGTAATGCAAACCTGCGCATGCGCGTCTCATGGCAGCCGAAGCAAACCAAGATGGCGGACATGTAGTTCGCGAATTGCTTTAAAAGGGATGTTGAAGGCTCCACGTTGTGATATGTGTGTTTTAAGAGTAAGAGTTTCGTGTAAAGTTTGTTTTAAGCAGTCCACTGCTCTTGTGAAACTACACTGCTACTGTGCCCAAACCCGCCAGAATGGGGAAAAAACTCGGATCTGATTAAATATTTTGTTTGAACACACTATTGTTACTCATATTGAATACAGTATGATACATGCATAAAATGTAATTTATTATGTCCATTATCAACCCAACAGACCAGTCACAGACGCGTCATGGGCCTGACGTCTGCAGCAGTCAGCTCAGGGACTGCGATCACACAGCAGCAGTGGCTAAAAACAAACTTTACACGAAACTCTTACTCTTAAAACACATCACAACGCGGAGCCTTCAACGTCTCTCCTCAAATTGCATTAAAAGTGACATTCGTGTCTTAATTCGTTTGTATTTAACTTTTAAAGTAATTCGCGGACTACATGTCCGCCATCTTGGATTGCTTCGGCTGCCGTGAGCTGCGCATGCGCAGGTTTGCATCACATCATTAACAGCTGAACCAGATCATCTCGACGGGCAGACCAACTGCACAGAACACCGGTGTAACGCCGAGATGCACTGCCTCAGCTGTTTATGATGTAATGCAAACCTGCGCATGCGCGTCCCACGGTAGCCGAAGAATACCAAGATGGCGGACCGTGAATTTCTTTAAAAGATAAAATACGAACAAATTAAGACACAAATGTCACTTTTAATGCAATTTGAGGCGAGATGTTGATGGTTCCGTTTTGTCACATGTGGGTTTTAAGAGTCAAAGTTTCGTGCAAAGTTTAGCTTAAGCAGTCAACTGCGCCTGTGAAACCACAAAAGCTAATGTTTTCATAGCAGTCCGCGGCTGATGACGTAGGCTGCTGACGTAGGCTGCTGACGTAGGCTGATGACGCGTCCTGTGGCAACTCTACACTCTTACAACTGGTCTGTCGGGTTAATAATGGAAATAATCAATTTAATTTAATACATGTGTCGTACTGTATTTAATATGATTAACAATAGTGAGTTCAAACGAAATATTTAATTAAATAGATTTTTTTCCCCCATTTTCCATTATCAACCGACAGACCAGTTGTAAGCTGTAGAGTTGCGGTCGGCACTAGATCATTTACCGAATCGGGACGAAACCGGAAGTAACAATCCTACTTTCAAATTAGTTTTAGACTAATCAGTCCTTAAGTGGTGACTGGTTAAGTTTTTAGGCGTCTGAGTAAGATGGTTAAGGTTAGGGTTAAGGTGGTCTGAGTAAGATGGTTAAGGTTAGGGTTAAGGTGGTCTGAGTAAGATAGTTAAGGTTAGGGTTAAGGTGGTCTGAGTAAGATGGTTAAGGTTAGGGTTAAGGTGGTCTGAGTAAGATGGTTAAGGTTAGGGTTAAGGTGGTCTGAGTAAGATGGTTAAGGTTAGGGTTAAGGTGGGTCTGAGTAAGATGGTTAAGGTTAGGGTTAAGGTGGTCTGAGTAAGATGGTTAAGGTTAGGGTTAAGGTGGTCTGAGTAAGATGGTTAAGGTTAGGGTTAAGGTGGGTCTGAGTAAGATGGTTAAGGTTAGGGTTAAGGTGGTCTGAGTAAGATGGTTAAGGTTAGGGTTAAGGTGGGTCTGAGTAAGATGGTTAAGGTTAGGGTTAAGGTGGTCTGAGTAAGATGGTTAAGGTTAGGGTTAAGGTGGTCTGAGTAAGATGGTTAAGGTTAGGGTTAAGGTGGTCTGAGTAAGATGGTTAGGGTTAGGGTTAAGGTGGTCTGAGTAAGATGGTTAGGGTTAGGGTTAAGGTGGTCTGAGTAAGATGGTTAAGGTTAGGGTTAAGGTGGTCTGAGTAAGATGGTTAAGGTTAGGGTTAAGGTGGTCTGAGTAAGATGGTTAAGGTTAGGGTTAAGGTGGTCTGAGTAAGATGGTTAAGGTTAGGGTTAAGGTGGTCTGAGTAAGATGGTTAAGGTTAGGGTTAAGGTGGTCTGAGTAAGATGGTTAAGGTTAGGGTTAAGGTGGTCTGAGTAAGATGGTTAAGGTTAAGGTGGTCTGAGTAAGATGGTTAAGGTTAGGGTTGGTTAAGGTGGTCTGAGTAAGATGGTTAAGGTTAGGGTTAAGGTGGTCTGAGTAAGATGGTTAAGGTTAGGGTTAAGGTGGTCTGAGTAAGATGGTTAAGGTTAGGGTTAAGGTGGTCTGAGTAAGATGGTTAAGGTTAGGGTTGGTTAAGGTGGTCTGAGTAAGATGGTTAAGGTTAGGGTTAAGGTGGTCTGAGTAAGATGGTGTAAGTTTAGGCATAAATAGGTAGTTTGTTATGTTTACTTCCACTTCCGTCCCGATTCGGGTTAGGGTTAGCCCGATTCTGTATATGATCTAGTGCTGACCGTAGAGTTGCCACAGGACGCGTCATCAGCCTACGTCAGCAGCCTACGTCAGCAGCCGCGGAGGCTGCTATGAAAACATTAGCTTTTGTGGTTTCACAGGCGCAGTTGACTGCTTAAACTAAACTTTGCACGAAACTTTGACTCTTAAAACCCACATGTGACAAAACGGAACCATCAACATCTCGCCTCAAATTGCATTAAAAGTGTTATTCGTGTCTTAATTTGTTTGTATTTTAACTTTAAAAACAATTCACGGTCCGCCATCTTGGTTTGCTTCGGCTGCCGTGAGACGCACATGCACAGGTTTGCATTGCATCATAAACAGCGGAGGCAGTGCATCTCTTCAAGACAGTGTATCTCGACAGAACACCGGGATAAAACGGCGTTCCAAGAATGAGACCAGTCTTTAGTCTTTAAATCAGTCTTTAGTAAATGTAACTTTCTTTTGTAAAAACATGAATTATTGCAGAGCTCTTCATGTGTGTGGGACTGTCCGACGGCTGCATCCCAATAGTTCTTCATTCCTCTTTGGCCTCAGGGTTGGGTCCATAATGTCTCCTGCAGACTCCTCCCCCTCTCTGGTGCACACTGGGGGTTGTAGTCCTGTAGTTTTTCTCATGTGGTTTTGCTGCTGCTGTGGTCCTGTCTCATAAGTTTAAATTCAGAGATGAAGGAGGTAGTTTTTCTGAATTCAGGTTTCCTCATTTTTATGAACTATTTGTGACAGACTCCTCGTAAGGCTTTTAGAAACGACTCCAGACTTTTGTTTTAACTGTTTATTATAATTCTAACAATTTATTATCTCTTAAAACATTTGAACTCCATATATATCCGTATGAAGGTGTCAGCGGCCCTCATACTCTTTATCTCTTCATTCTCATTTTTTATAAAGTTCTCTTAAATAAAAACTTGTGCTTCTTGTGCAGTTTTAACCTTTTCTTCCACTTCTGTCTCTGAACTATTCCCAAAATGACCCAAAAATAACTTTCTCACTCTTTGATCAGGGGGAAGCTCCAGTCGGTGGTGACGGCTGCACTGCACAAAAAGCACATTTAAATAAACGTATATAAATAAATACAACATACCTTTTGTGGAAGACACAGATTCAATAGAACTTTAGAGACTTTTAACATCTTAAACCTTTACGTCCGTCTCGTCCTTACTGCTTTCCCCAAACATCACCTCAGCCTCGTCTGGGTCTGGTTTTTAAAACAAGACCATTCAATAAACTTTAAAAGTTAAATAGTTTTTAATGTAGATGGAAGAGCCCTTGAAGTCTGCGTGATGAGGAAAAGGAACCGTTTAAAAAATAAATACTAGTTTAAAATGGCGCCCAATAAAGTTGACTAGAGTAGGGTAGACTAGAGTAGAGTAGGGTAGAGTAGAGTAGGGTAGACTAGAGTAGGGTAGAGTAGAGTAGGGTAGACTAGAGTAGGGTGGAGTAGGGTAGACTAGAGTAGGGTAGGGTAGAGTAGGGTAGACTAGAGTAGGGTGGAGTAGGGTAGACTAGAGTAGGGTAGGGTAGAGTAGGGTAGACTAGAGTAGGGTAGAGTAGAGTAGAGTAGGGTAGACTAGGGTAGAGTGGAGTAGGGTAGACTAGAGTAGGGTAGGGTAGAGTAGGGTAGACTAGAGTAGGGTAGAGTAGAGTAGAGTAGGGTAGACTAGAGTAGGGTAGAGTAGAGTAGAGTAGAGTAGAGTAGGGTAGACTAGAGTAGGGTAGAGTAGAGTAGAGTAGAGTAGAGTAGGGTAGACTAGAGTAGGGTAGAGTAGAGTAGAGCAGTGTTTTTCAACCACTGTGCCGCGGCACACTAGTGTGCCGTATGATATTGTCTGGTGTGCCGTGAGAAATTCGTCTACTTTGTCTAAAAATAGCTGCATTCGCTGTTGACGAGCGGTGACTTGTTTTGAACTGTGGAGTAACCATGTAATACTTTTTCAAATCAGTAGATGGCAGCAGATAGCTAAGTACTTTGAAACTGAAAAATTGGATGCGACCACTGGCTGTAACAGGTCAGCATTGTGGCGAGAAAGGTAAAATTGGATGCGACCAACAAATGTGGGAGGGAGCGAGACAAGAGCTTTGTGGCGAGTGAGAAGTGAAAGTGATAGAGACGTTTTTGAAAATGAATTATGCCGTTTCTGAACAGGATTAACATCCTCCGCTCTGCCCCGGGGCAGCTGTGGCCGCGTTGTAGTGGTTTAACTATGAAATGTACAATTTTTGTACAACAGCTCTCGCGAACGCACTTCTGAACTGGGTACCGAGCGCAGACCATAGTCGAGTGGACAGAACCACAGACATGCGGACCGGACAGAACCATGGACTCGCGTTCAGGACCTCCCGTGTCCCTCATCCAAAACTCCTGAATTTAAAGCTCGGATACCTAAATTTTTCCCATGCACTAAGAATGCATGTTCTTTGTGTGAGTTATTATTTGACTATTTGGGCAGAGAGTGGATTTTCTTAGTTTTTTTCCACACAGTTAGTGCCACTTTATTCCCAAACTCTTGTTAATTGTATCGAGAAATATTAAATAAAGCTTAATTTCAAGGCCTGGACTTAAGCATTTTGATGAGAATAACTGTATATTGTGAATATAGGCTGCAGAGTATACTGTATACATTATAAGATAAGATAAACTTTATATATCACACAGAGTATGTACAGTATATATTTTTTTACATTAGTACTGTATACATTTTTACATTTTCTCCTGGAGGTGTGCCGCAAGATTTTTTCAGTGAAAAAAGTGTGCCTTGGCTCAAAAAAGGTTGAAAAACACTGGACTAGAGTAGGGTAGAGTAGGGTAGAGTAGAGTAGGGTAGATTAGAGTAGAGTAGGGTAGAGTAGGGTAGGGTAGACTAGAGTAGGGTAGAGTAGGGTAGAGTAGAGTAGGGTAGATTAGAGTAGAGTAGGGTAGAGTAGGGTAGGGTAGACTAGAGTAGGGTAGAGTAGAGTAGGGTAGATTAGAGTAGAGTAGGGTAGGGCAGGGCAGGGTAGAGCTTTAGACGGTGGTTCCCAAAGTGCGGTAGCAGGACATTAGCTGTGGGTCACATGATGACGGCAGAGTTTGCATGTTTTGACTTCAGAGAATAATAAGTTATTGACCGTCTGTGGTTCTCGGCATCACGTCTGTTTCTTCTGGGAACCCCTGATCTATTACTAATTAACCTAAACTAATCAAAAGCTGTGAAAAGTCAACTTTGCAGGTTTGATTTTGAACTAATTTGGTATTAAAACAGTTTTATTAATTATACAGCTGCAGCAAAGTCACTGATTTCCATATTTTTAGATTTTTAGAACATTCTGATAGAGTCCATGGGAGCAGCTCCTCTCTCTCCAAACAGCTTAGTCCATCTCTAGTTTTCACATGTATCTTTGCTTTGCCACTTTTTTCAGACAGATGTGAAAAGAGAGGACCCCCCCTCTCTCGGCCAATCAGCTCTCAGCCCAAAGAGTCAAATATTGACTCACAGGGATCTTTCTTACAAGTATGTGTTGTAATTACAGACGACAGGACGTTGTAGAAGGATTTGTCCGCAATATTTCATTTGTACTTTTTCACTTGGGACAAACATAATGTATTAATGTAATGTATTAAAGCTTGGGTACCCCAGCTTTAATTACCGGTAAATTAGAGACAAAGATTCTTCAGTCTGTACCAAACACATTTCTCAGTCAAATGTGCCTAAATCTGTGTCTGTCTGTATTTTAAATGGTCAAGTGAAAAATAAATGGGTCAAAAACACATGATCTAAACCAAAACAGGTTGAATGCATTTCCTGGTGTTGATGATTTAAAGTAATTTTAGTAGTTTTGGCCTTTATGGTGTATTTGAACCCAACCTTAACCTCTCTCTCGCTTCTCTCCAGTGAGGACCGCAGTAAGGGCAACAACAATAATGACAAATATAGCAACAATAAATCTCTTGATATCAATATCCCATTTTTAAAGTTTAAAAATTGTAAGAAGAAGAGCAGTATTAAAACTCCATGTGTTCAGTAGAAGCCTCTGCAGTCTGTGGATCTGGGCTTTTGTTTTCTTCTTCGGGACATAAGTCTTTGAGTGAGAAATGGCAGTTTTTGTTTCTCCGGTGAAGTCCGCCCAAATCCAGAAGTCTCTTCCGTTGATCCTCTAATAAATAAATAAAAATCCGTCGGGCGATCTCTTCCCAGTTATAATATCCAGGGTCCATTTTTAAATATTGTTTCATATATATATTTATATATATAGTGTCCCACAACGTTTGCACTGCTTTTCAAAGTGCATTGGAAGTGATGTCAGTGGATGCATGCAGCCGGCTGTATGTCTCCCATGTCCATGTGTGTGTCTGTGTGTGTGTCCGTGTGGGCGTGTGTGTGTCTGTGTGTGTGTCCGTGTGGGCGTCTGTGTGTGTCTGTGTGTGTGTCCGTGTGGGCGTGTGTGTGTCTGTGTGTGTGTCCGTGTGGGCGTGTGTGTGTCTGTGTGTGTGTCCGTGTGTGTGTCTGTGTGTGTGTTTGTGTGTGTGTGTGCGTGTGTGTGTGTGTGTGCGCGTGTGTGTGCGTGTGTCTGTGTGTGTGTGTGTGTGTGTGCGTGTGTCTGTGTGCGTGTGAGAGTGTGTGTGGTGTGTGTGTGTGTGCGTGTGTCTGTGTGCGTGTGAGAGTGTGTGTGGGTGTGTGTGTGTGTGTGTCTGTGTGCGTGTGAGAGTGTGTGTGTGTGTGGGTGGGTCTGCGTGTGTCTGTGTGTGTGTGTGTGTGTGTGTCTGTGTGCGTGTGAGAGTGTGTGTGTGTGTGGGTGGGTCTGCGTGTGTCTGTGTGTGTGTGTGTGTGTGTCTGTGTGTGTGTGTGTCTGTGTGTGTGTGCGTGTGTGTCTGTTTGTGTGTCTCTGTGTGTGGGTGTGTGTGCGTCTGTGTGTGGGTGTGTGTGTGTCTGTGTGTGTCTCTGTGTGTGTGCGTGTCCATGTGTGTGCGTGTGTGTGTCTCTGTGTGTGTCTGCGTGTGTGGGTGTCTGTGTGTGTGTGTGTCTGTGTGTGTGTATCTGTGTGTGTCTCTGTGTGTGTCTGTGTGGGTGTCTGTGTCTGTGTGTGCGTGTGGGTGTGTGTGTGTCTGTGTGTGTGTGCGCGTCTGTGTGTGTGTGTGTGCGTCTGTGTGTGTGTGTGTCTCTGTGTGTGTGTGTGTTTGTCTCTGTGTGTGGGTGTGTCTGCGTGTGCGTGTCTGTGCGTGTGCGTGTGTGTGTGTGTCTCTGTGTGTGTTTGTCTCTATGTGTGTGTGTGTTTGTCTCTGTGTGCGTGTGTCTCTGTGTGTGTGTGTGAAGAAGAAGAAGACACTTGTTTGTTGCTACAAATGTTGTCGTACAGTGGCCAGTCTGAAAACACCTTTGTGGAACTCATCGTGGTATAAAGAGATTTCAAGGTAAAGTCAAACCCGTCGCTAAATCCAACACAATATTAACTCTCTCAGTGAAGGCCATACATTGAGAAAATGCATTAGATTTGGCATCATTTCTGTCTATTTGTCTGATAGATTCACTTATCAAGGGACATGTGCTTCCAAGTCTGTTGCACATATAAACCTCTAGATGGCGCTGTTTCCCTTAGATATAACTTAAAGGGAGTAGAGTGGTCCTGCTTCTGATTCAGCAAAAAGAAAAACTCTTTTAAACCCTTCTTTATCCTTTCTCCTCCTTTCTATGGAGCTTTGTCAAATGTGGAGCTTTGGTCAAATGTGACCAGAGTGAATTTTAAAACATATTTCGAACTTGTTAGATTTGCCCGAACCTGGAGCTGAGACGTTGTATGACATAAACAACACATATTTCTTAAAGAGGATGGAAGGATAAGAAGGAACTGTTTTGCTGAATTCAGATGCAGCCGAGGTTTAGCCACAGTTTTTGTTAAGAGTTCAAGGAAAACATCAAAATGGCCATGTATCTGTTTTTTTAAACAGAGGGAAGAAAATGTACCAAATGTCTGATTTTACAAAATATTTCATGGACCATTTTTAAACAGATTTAGTTTTTCAAAAGTGTTTTCTGTTGTTGCTCCAGTCATTCTCTACAGAAAACTTGTCAAACGAGTGAATGTTGAAGGAAAACGCAGCGGACTATCGATGACTGTATCAACTCATCGTGGAGAAGCACACTTCACCGCAGACATTAATCTCGTTAGCGTTAGCAAAGAGAAAGAAACACATTTAAAGATTTTTCCCTCTGAAATAGTTCTATCACCGAGAAACTCACAGCGCGTACTTTATGAACCGTGTTATTGGATTTTGTAGAAAAATAGAGTGTTAATATTTGCGTGTAGACTTTTGAAGAACTTGTGAACTGCAGAATCCTGAATAAGTAACAGCGTAATCAGAATTTAACATCACACGAGTGGAAATATGTTCAAGTGATACAGGTTCGTTTTCTACAGAGAATGAAAGAGACTCGAGTGAAGACCCGCCTGAAATAGGAACTTGCCTTTGACAGTTTTGTAGGTCGCGAGATTACAACCTTCAAAAGATTGGTACTTACCAAAGCAAATTCCTACTTTGGGACTTCCTGTTACAATGAAAATACAAATAATATTCTGACATCTCCCAAATAAACCAAATGGATTTACTTTAAAACTAAAACAACTTTTAGCTTTAACTTCGGACCAAGATTCTGCCTCAAAAGCAAGATTTTAAAAAGATTTTAAAATGGGTCACACTGTGGATAATTGCTTAAACCTTGAGGACGACGGGAGCGTCTGTCTGCCCTCCCACAGCGCTGCATTAAACCACAATTATACATTACATTTGAACTATTTAAATATGTTGTTTTGTGTTCTCTGAACATTTGGCGCAGAATGAACCACAGATGAGAGACCACCTTCTCTCCTCATACTTCTCCAACCTTCACAAACCCATGGCTCGGCTGTGGTTGTTGCCATCTTGCATTTGGATAAAAATAAAAATCTTCATATATTGGGATAGAACGGCAGTGTTTTTAGGGCTTTGTATAACAGTGCTCTGGGGTCTATAAACAGTGAAGGATACATCGTACTAAAAAGAACGTTTTTATCAATTTGGAGACATATGGTGAATACTGGTCACACTGGTCACTGTGGCTTTAATTACTCACTAACTAAGCTTACATCATGTCTATTATTACTACTTATAAAATGCCATATTATATTTCTGTAGGCTTTTACTATTGCACACTCCGCCTTCGCTTTCCCCTCAACAAAAATATTGTCTTTTGTGGAATACGAAATGTGGCTCTGTTCGTTTTACGTGAGTAGAAGGAAATATACAGCGCTTGTAAGTTAGAAAATCAGGATTTTTTGGGAAAAAGGTTAATTTCTGAAGCGGTAATTCAAACAGTTGCTAATTTGCTAAGATGTGGTTTTTTACTTGAACATTGAATGGATACAGCATGGAAGCAACTTTTTCAACTTATTTCTCACAGTTTCTGACTTTTCTAATTCAACTACGGAAGGAGTGGGATTTTTCTCTGGTTTGATAAAGAACATTTACAGAGTCAACATCATCGTAAGTAAACATTACTCATAAACTTGACTCGAATCCTTGGGTTCGTTTTGTTGGTAATCCTCTTCTCTTAAACAAACAGATTCTAAGTCACTTTGTTGTCTTTCTGTTCCAGTTGAACGACTAGTTTAAGTGATTGCTTTACTCAGATTGTTTCTGTTTGCAGTCGCGAGAACTAGATTTAAAACCATGGCTCAGACTGAGAACCTTTAGACGCTTTAAAACATTATCCATGTGTTACTATCTCTCTAAACATTCTCTAAATGATCTCTAAACATTACTATCAAAGCTCTGCACCTGATTTTTACCGTCTTTAAATTGTCAAAATCATAATAAGTCTGACTGTATCCCAGTTTTAGCTTCAATATAATTAATCTTTACATAATTAGGCCGCAGTAGTTCAGCACTTCTGGTATCGTGAACCATTTGCTTCGATACAAAACCTATTTTGGATCCAAAATGAAAACTACAGAAAGTCAGGTACAAGAACTTTCATCAGTGACTTTCTGAGTCCAAACCATGTGATGGACTTGGATCATAGTTTATGTTTAGACTAATCATCGATCTTTCTTTCTTTGTGGCATCTAAAATGCTCGTTTAAAATGCTCGTTTAAAATGCCCGTTTAAAATGCTCGTTTAAAATGCTCGTTTAAGGGCCTTTCTCGATCTGGGTGTTTAAAAAGAAACCTAATAATGAGATGACTGTGTCTAAACGGATCATCAGCCTTTGTGTTCCCTCATTTCTCTTCCGGACGTCCCAAAAGCTGTTCTCTCTCCACCCTTTTAATTTACGGCGTGGATCCGCAGTCGTTGCACCGTGCCCCCTCATTGACTCCGAGTGGTGGAAGTTGCTTGTTTCTTGGGTAGTTTTTTTTTGGCAGATTTTCGCCGGCTCAGCTCCTGCCTCCGTCGTCTCTCCTCATGTCGCCCTGTCCTTCCCGCGGAGAGAGCATGGAGATGGGGAAGGGGCTGCTGGAGAGCCTGGGGACACGAGCAGAAGGGACGCGCCATAAGGACATGAAATGCTAATGACGGGGTTTTCTGGAGTATTTCGAGGCGGAAAACGCTTTGACTTCTGCAGCTTTGATGCATTCGTAAACGGACACAGCACAGGCATTTGCAACACTTAAAGCTGGTGTATCTCGGTTCAAATCAGGTAGGTCCAAACTCAGGCCCGCGGGCCATTTGCGGCCCTTTGTGTAATTTTATGTGACCCTCTGCTGCTAACACAAAGTGGCTATTGAGGCACTTTGACAGTGTCATCCAACCAACTTCAGCACCACCAATGCAGTCATGCTATACCTTGTTGTGAATCTCAGTCTCTCTGGAATCCAGTCCTTGACTTTATTGTTATTGACTGACATTAGTTTTATGATTGTGTAATATCCAGATGCATAAAAAAGGATATATCATCACCCATTTTAAATTCTGGAATCCAGTCAATCCAGCTCCAATCCAGTTTTTAAATCCAGGCTATCGGCCCCAGGTCAAGTCTGATGAACTAAAGTGGCCTCTAACTAAAAGGTTTGAACACCCCTGCTCTAAATGATGTGTTTACAGACAGAGCTTTTCTATCCAACCTCATTCAGTCGTGTCCAAAAACCTTCCCTTGGCTGAGTATTGGCAAAGTGTATTTAGTGGCTGAGTATTTATATAAAAAAACATTTTCATTAGGGCTGGGACGCGTCGACGTAATCGGTGACGTTGACGCAAAAAATACACCGACGTATAATATGCGCGTCGGTGCGTCACACACAAAACAAAGATGGCGGCGAGCGGTAGCAATGCGAGTGAGAAGTGCAAGCCGGTGTAACGCTGAGATACACTGCTTTGAAGAGATGCACAGCCTCAGCTGTTTATGATGTAATGCAAACCTGTGCATGCGCGTCTCACGGCAGCCGAAGGAAACCAAGATGGCGGACCGCGAATTTCTTTAGAAGTTAAAATACGAACAAATTCAGACACAAATGTCACTTTTAATGCAATTTGAGGCGAGATGTTGATGGTTCCGTTTTGTCACATGTGGGTTTTAAGAGTCAAAGTTTTGTGCAAAGTTTAGCTTAAGCAGTCAACTGCGCCTGTGAAACCACAAAGCTAATGTTTTCATAGCAGTCCGCGGCTGCTGACGTAGGCTGCTGACGTAGGCTGATGACGCGTCCTGTGGCAACTCTACACTCTTACAACTGGTCTGTCTTCTTTGTATCAAACGGAATATTGGCGCCCGTAATAGCCCCTACATGTATTATTCACTGTCATGCCCGCCGTATGTGGACATTTTTCAACATGTGTTCAATATCCTTAATGTGTTTAACTGTTGATTGATTCTCTGATCTGTGTTGGTGACTTCAATGTTGTTTTAAGTCCTCTGAGATGACTTCTACTGTATTCTTTCAGTAACTCTAAAAGAAAGGATGACTGGTTGACCTTTTTATTTGCTACACAATGCATTGTTTTTCTCTTGTACACTCTTACTTGAATTTTATTTTTGAATTTTGAGTTTAAGAAAAAGGTGAGTGGCAGAGTTTTGACTGTTATTTTTATATGAATGAAGAATTTAAGAGATGCACTTTAATTAATGGACTTCAGTAATATAGGCCTATGTGTCTTCAACTTAAATGTTAAACTCTGTTGGTTCAGGAAGGACGCCATGACAGGCTGATGGCTCCCACTGTTTTTGCTGGAAAAGCACTCTTTGTTTAGCTTAAAGCCTTCAAGTTTACATTGGTTACTGTTTTCTTTTAGTTGCTCTACACAAGTATTTGGCTGAACTTTTTCATATTTTTATTGAATGCTAAGCATCAAATGTTTGTTTCAAGAATGATAAGATGCACTTTTTTCAGTAAGCTGTGTTTTCAAGGCTTTAAGGTTTTATGCTACCTCTAAGAATGTCTTATTTTTGAATTTTAAGAGCAAGCAATACATATTTTTTGTGAAGGAATTCATGTTTTTTTCATTAAAATATTTAAATCAACATGTATACATCAATATTAGTCAATTAATGGGGAGATAATCGAGAATCGAATCGAATCGAAATCGAATCGAAGCGAAAAAAATAATCGTTAGATTAATCGATGCATCGAAAAAATAATCGCTAGATTAATCGTTTAAAAATTAATCGTTTATCCCAGCCCTAATTTTCATCCATTATAATAAAAACAATGTATACAGTGAATACAATTATTCAGAAATGTTGGTCATAAAATCAGTAAAAAACCCCATGAGTAAATAAAATAATACAACTTTTCTCTTTAGGGATCTGCCACTAGCCTGTCTTATACTTCGACCATTTTGCCTTAAATCTGTTCATACTTGCGTTTGGCCGTTTTTCCCCGTTGACCTTCCGCAGTTGGCACCTACCTGTCTATAACCGTCCGCAGGGCCCTCTCGATGTTCATGCGGTGTCCCACTCGCGTGACGCCCAGATCCAGGTAGTCCTCCTTGGTGAGCGAGGGCAAGTGTGTCCCGTCTATTTCATTGTCCAAAAACCTCTCCCTGTGCTCCCCCAGGTTCAGGTAGGCCAGCCAGTCCGCCACGTCGTACTTAGTCCAATAGGGCAGAGGCTTGGAGGCAAAGGGCTTTGTGGGAGACGGGGGAGGCAGGTGCGGGTAACTCAAGCAGGGCGGGGGAGGAATGGGGTGTAACGGCGGCGAAGACGTCCCCGACAAGAAATGAGTGGGAGACAGAGATCGAGAAACGAGTAGAGAAGAGTTTGGAGGCGGAGGAGCACCGGACGGAGCGAATAATGGAGGAGAAGGCGAGAAATAAGGATCTCCCAGTGGGTTTGCAGGAGACGGAGGCGTTATCGACCCTCGCAAGTCGTAGAGGGCGCTATAGAGCGGAGACGTGGGGAGGAGGGGCAAAGACGAAGGCCTTGGAGGTGCGTGTTTGGGTCGTTCAGTTGGGGAGATGAGAGGGCTAGGGGCACGTCTGCGGGCAATGTGCGAGTCGGCCTTCCGGGAATCTCGACTGGGAATAAACTGAAACTCCAGAGCTTTGGAGCGGTAGACGGGCCGGTGTTTGGGGGAGGTGGGGTAAGGGGAGTAGCCGGTGGGGGAGATGGGGGAGTGGGAGCGGGGCGGCTGCGACTGGATCTGAGGCTGGATCTGCGGCTGTGGTGAGGGAGAGCGAGCCCAGTTTTGATACTGAGAAGCCGGAGTGGGCGATGGGGACAGAGTGGGCTGGGAGAGGGAGATGGGAGACGGGGAGAGGGAGCGCACCGATGGAGGGCTCAGAGCGGAGGCAGAGTCTTCGGAAAATCTGGAAAAAAATAAGTTTTATTATTAGTTGTTTCGAATGTTTGGAATGTGATCGGATACATCTGTTTATGATCATGGACTAGTCGGTGCTGTATTATAGTGATGAGTTTTTAGACTAACTAATTTGTTTTGCGGTAGAGATTTCTGAAGGATTCCTTACGTTTCAGTCTCTCTGGAGTGAGAATTCCAGAATAAAATGTGTTAAGTTATGTATGAATGGTTAACTCTTAGTCTCATGTGTGCAGAAAAAAAATGGCTTGGCCCATTATAAAAGTAAATAACTGCAGTATATTATTATTTATAGTAGTTTCTACTTTTCTTATAATAAACACAGAGAAAAAAAACAATGCTATTTATATCGACTGCACTTTGAAATGAGCAAAACTGCTGACTCCACTCGTCTGTGCCTTTACTCATTAAGGACTACAGAAACCTTAAAAAATCACCGTATTCCCTAAAGTGCATTTATACTGTAGCTATATATATATATATATATCAGTTATTAAACCTCATTAAACACCATTGATAAAGTACCTGTGTCTGCTCAGAGCTCTTTGGCTGCTCCAGCTCTCCTTGCTCCTGTGCTGCAGTTTGTTTCCCAGTTCGTTGATGATATTCGGCTTCATACTCGACGATTGAGAATAGGCCTTTTTCCCCTCCATCAGCGCCGCCGCCTCAGCACTCTGCGTTTCCCCCCAGAGAGGCTTCAGTTCAGGGGTCCGGGGCCTCTCGTAGTAGGGCGAAGCTGGACGTCCTAGATTCTGCATATCACGCACGGTGTAGCTTTCTTGCCCGCTGTCGTCCTCCACCAGTCCCTCTTCAATGTCGTCTTCCTCGTGCTCGTCACGTCTTCGGTGGAAAGAGGCCGGGGCCGTGCTGGTCTGTCTGTGCAGATCTCCAGCGCGACCACCATCCCTGAACCGGTTCGTCTTGGGGTACGTGGACGCCGCGGATGCTGTGGCGTTTTGCATTTCGAAGCTCTGCCCGTCTAAGTAGCTCATGTATGATTCCAAAAAGTCTCCCGCTCTGTCTGAATCTGTCGAACCCACCCGACTGTTGCTACCTGTTAATCTCCCGCTATCTATTCCCCTTCTCCCGCTCATACCCAGAATGCTATCCAAATGGTGATCGCTGCTGCTACGACTATCCAGTTCTTCAATCCCTGAATCGACGACTGTTTCTTGGGACTCTCCCTTTTTGGCAATGGTGACAGCTCTTCGGCCCATTATAGTTCGCTCATGGTAAAGCTGCGTGGAAGTGCTTGTTGTGGTGGAAGAAGTAGTAGTAGTAGACGTGGATGCGCAGGTCGCGTTCATCGTTTGGGAAGAGGTCCCACGAACAGAGACGGAGGTGGAGGTTGCTTGTGGATGTGCGGGAGGGCCTCTGTAGGCTGGGGGTGGCGTCACGGTGTGTTGTTGTGGAGGAGTGGGAGAAGAAGCACGAGCTGGGGCGTGGCTGCTGTTGTAAAGGTGATGATGGGACATTGAAAAGGGGCGATGGTAGGATCCTGGAGGAGGTGACACAGACGGCTGTGGTTGCCCTCTGGCCGATGACGTTTGGAGAGTGGAAGGCGACATGGGAGGATTGGGCGAAACTTGCGACGGCGATGGACCTGACTGTGTGAGATTGGCTACTTCACTGTCGTATGACGTAAGGCTGGAGGCTGTGGAATCGCCTGCTTGGGGAGAGGGCAACGGCGGATGTTGGGATGAAGGGGGAGGTGGCGGTGGGGGCGGAGGAGGGGGTGGAGGAGCGGACGGGACTTCCTGTTGGCGTTGCCGTGCTGCCATGTTTCTCTGCATACCACCTTGAGTATACCTTGCCATTGCACTTCCCTGACCTCTGTCAAAGCTATTGGCGAATTCTCGCGGAGGCGGAAGGGGGTCTGCATACACAAATCCATCGTCTGCGTCTACAGATGGGGCAGGCGGGGGTAGAACCATGATTCCTGAACTACCCGTAGTGTTAGTCTGTTGTTGTGTGCTTGTTGCAGGCGGAGACGGAGGAGTTAACGATAATATGTAAGGGTCGGATTGATTTTCCATTCTAAGAAACGACGGTCTTTGGGAGGCTTGCTGTTGTCCTGTGGAACTGTCAGTTTGTTCTGCCCTGCGCATGTAATTCTCTTTGTCTCTTTCTCTTGATAAATCTCGTTCTCTTGACCTATCTCTCGGCTGATACCCTTGCGCTTGATAGTTGTGCGGGTTATCCTCTGAAAACCGCACTCTTAGCCCTTCTCTTGCCCCTCCTGCCTCCCTGTCTCTATCACTCACCGCCGCATCATCCCCCCACAATCCTCTAAGTATTCGTGGGGAAGGCGGTCGACCCACAGTGGGGGTAGTAGCAGCTACAGACGAAGACGTAACTAAATAAGAGCTTGAAGACTGGGCAGTGGAAGACACTGGTTGAGATGAAACACTAGACGTTGGGAACACATTGGATATTTGCCTAGTAAAATGATGCTCAGGTCCCCTCCTTATCCTTGAATCGTCCCTCAATGCTCGTTCTCTTGCTGCCAGAGCCAGACCAAGAGGTGAGCTGGGATCTAACGCTTTTCCCGTTAGCGGGTGGATGAACGTGGTTGACATATTTTGGGAGGGTTGTCTGCCTGCGGCCGTATACAAATCAGTCGGGACCGATTTTGGCTGATAATCCATGGCAGACGAGGAGTATTCAGGAAGTCCGAAAGCTGGGGGCATACTGCGAGTATGGTGAATAAAAGTGTCCCCGGAAAACATACCTTCATCTATGGATTTTGAAGGTCGTAGACGCGTTGAAGAACTGTCCTGCTGCGAACTAAGCTGCGTCTGTGAATAAGCTCTTGAACTACCACTCAAATTATCACTGATTGCTCCCATGAGTCCGTCTTCTTCTGCAGACATAAACAAGGAGGCACTCTTTCTCCTCGCCTCGTGAAACCGCTCCCTGTCTCTCCGCGCGGCACCTACGATTGCTGCACCGAACTGGCTCGTATAGTCCATATTATCTCGCATAGAAGGAGGTGGAGGTGCTGGGACAGAGGGTGGTGCTGGAGGCTGAGGGGCAGGGGTAGATGGAGGAAGAGGCGTTTTGGACTCTTCCGACTCTCCAGTACCGGGAACGTCTGCTTCTACGCTGCTACCTTGGCTGCTACGGCCACTGCTGCTTGTCGAAGGCGCTTTGACAATGATAGTTGGGATTGGGATTGAGCTTTTCTCCACTGAACCTTTACTCCCAAGTGCTGCCTGTCCCCCCCGCAAGTCCTCCACCTTGGATTGCTTCACAAGAGGACCTTTGCCTCTCCTGGCTTGTCCTTTCGGCCCACCCGCCCCCACTGCGCTCCGCTCTGTCCGCTGCGGTGGACCCTGGGCAGGCTGCTGTTGCTGGGGCATCACTGCAGCGATGCTCGAAGGCGGGATGGCGGCGGTGCTATACCCTCGCCTGAGAACAGCAGCCTTCGCCACCGCTCCCGCTCCCATTCCAGCAGCAGCAGTTTCCCCAGGGTACGCCACCTTCCGCGAGGCTGCACGGCTCTGGACGGCGTGGGCGGTGGACACGTGTGCGTAGATGGCGTGGTCCATGGCTCCGGCTGCAGCTCCAGCTCTCTCCCTGCCCCCGTGGGTGAAGTGCACAGGCTGTTGGGAGTAAGACTGGTAGTGGGCAGAGGTGGCGGAGGCCTGGGACATGGACACAGAGGGCTGCTGGGAGGATTTGGTTCTCCATCCCAAAGGAGGTGCAGAGGAGAAGGGGGGTTCTGGAGGGGCGGTGGTGGGGGGAGGGGGGATGTCGTCCGGGCCAGGCACAGACAGACTGCGGACAAACTTCATGGTCGGAGGACCAAGATACTGCTTCATCTCCTCCTCAGGGGTCCCTACAGAGCAGCATTCACAAACAGAGACATACAAAAGCATAATATACCTGTGAGGATTGTGTCATCAAAGAATAAGTGCTCACTGAAACACAAACAGATGTGTGAACAAGAGTTTATAGATATAGGTCATGCAGAGTTAGCTTTAAGTTTAAATATGAGCATTTAAAATAGCATACAATGGACACCAGTCCAGCTCAAGTATGTTGACATAAGTTATTTCAATTTATATAATCAATGTCAGTTTAGTGATGATTGAATAAGATCCTGAGTAATGATCTGCTAATGGTACATAAACTGTTAATCATTACTTGAGATGATCTTTTATCTTTCTACAAAAAGTAAAGATGCAGGCTTTACATGACATACAGCTTTTGTAAAAACTCTAAATCTGTGTTGCAACCGAGTTACCCAAAACTAGAGTGGGTTAACAGTTCTTCTTTAAAACATACGTTAGCAGAGCAAGAGTGTGCTGAGGGCTAAATGATACAGAGTTAGAACTGCATTAGTGAGAATGGAGCATGAAGGAGATCTGTCTGTCTCTGTCGCCCGCTCTGATGTCTGTCCATCAACAACACAACCAACGTGTGTTAGAAGTGTCACTAAAATGGAATATTTCACCAAATGTTAGTTCGGCCAGTTATGAATCTCTGAAGAATCAGACAATATTAGCAATGACAAAGCTACTAGGATTATAAACACACATTCAACAATTAGACAATGACAGACACGTGGAGTTGGATTGGACAAACAGCGACAGCAGGGCAGCACTGCAACACCACAGAAACACTTGAATATAGAAGAGTCTCCTTTGGTTGGTACTAACATCTGTGTTTAAGCAGTCATTCTAAAATGTTACTTTCATTTAATGATTGACATAATTGGCTTCATAGCATAATTATATACCAAGATTCTCAGATTGATAGAAAAATAAACCTTTAATTACAAATACATGGCTAAGGCAGTTTAAGCCTAGTTTCTCATTGGCTGATTGTAACAATTGTACATGTAGCTGTAGCTAACAATTAGAACGAGAAAAAGTACTAAACATGTTCTTGGGCAGTTGCCGATCAAAGACCAGAAGCAAACCCGTAGGATTGATAAGGTGGCTACAAAGTTGGGAAAAGTGTGCGAAACAAAAGCTTGTATCTGGCTTAAGATTTACATTTCATGCAAAAACATAAAAAATACTCAATTATCTATCCAGTAATAACAAGATTAGTGCAGTCACTGAATGGAGGGCGGCCTGGCCTGAATGTCAAAGTAAATACAAAAATCCCTCCAAATTGTGATTTTGGCAGTTTTTCCATAGAAATTCTGGTAATTTTAATGAATTAAAGACCGAACACCTCACAGTGTTCTAAATTCAAGTTATTTCTCCACATGTAGTGTTTTGCAGTGTAGAACAGACAGTCTCACCGATGGACTTCTGCCGCAGCATACCGTGCGGCGGGCCGTGACCAGAGAACTGCCCGCGGTCGTAGCCCAGGCCTAACCCTGAAGACATCGCCCCCATCCCAGACGGGTCTCCATAGCCCTGCCCAGAGGAACACACTTCAGACCAACGGCTTCAGGATAATATCACAATTACATTTGTTCTGCAATGAACTTATACGTGACAAATGTTACACACGGTCACAGTCTGAGCACAGTCTTCACTTTCACTCATGTTTTAACCACTGATGCTCATGAACTTGTAAAAATAAAAGCCGTCAAATTGACTGCTCCAGGAGTTCTGTGCCAAATCACATTAGATCCGTGTACCTCGTTGCCGTAGAAGCTCCGGCCCCGGTCCCGTTTGGGCCCCTGGCCCCGTGTCCCCGGAGCCTCGTTGGTGTTGATCGTCTGCTGAGCGGCTGCAAGAATTTCATCTAATTTATCTGAGAGAAGGACAGCGACGAGACAGAGGAGGAGGAAGAGAGGACAAGAGACCACGATGAAACACACACACAAACAAAATGGCGGCTTGTGGCGGTTACGAGCGGAGAGGGACAGACGCCATGGAGACACGGTGCTTACTCAGAGCCATCTGATAGACCGTCCTCTTCTTCTCCGACACTTGGGACGATTCGAATTCTGCAACAAACAAAAGAAGATAACCGTGGTGGTGTTTGGCAGCTCCTCCTGCAGCGCCTCCTGCAGCTGCAGCTCCTCCTGTAGCTGCAGCGCCTCCTGCAGCTGCAGCTCCTCCTGTAGCTGCAGCTCCTCCTGCAGCTCCTCCTGCAGCTCCTCCTGCAGCTGCAGCTCCTCCTACAGCTGCAGCGCCTCCTGCAGCTGCAGCAGCTCCTCCTGTAGCTGCAGCGCCTCCTGCAGCTGCAGCGCCTCCTGCAGCTGCAGCTCCTCCTACAGCTGCAGCGCCTCCTGCAGCTGCAGCTCGGACTAAACCAGCAGTTCACTGTTTAAGTTATAAATAAAGTAACATGACGGTAACGGGAAACCTTTTACACTCCGTGGATAATGTTTGTGTGAAGCCATTATTGTCCAACAAAAGTGTTTTCAATTTTCAAATGATCTCAACTCCAGTTGTGGCCATACTTTCATCTGAAAGTAGGATCCCCTCAGACCTCTGCAGCTAAGCAGGGTAGGGCCTGGTTACTGCTGGGATGGGAGACCTCTGGGAACAGCAGGTGCCACAGTGGGGCGGCTGCGGCTGTAAAGTGCCAAACTGTGGTTGTGTCCTTAGGCAAGACACTTCCCCCACATTAGAATGAGTCTGGGGTGTGTGTGAGTGGTTGGGGGTGGTCACAGTAGTAGTTAATCACCACTGTCCGTAGAGTGAAAGAATAATGACATGTGAAGTGTCTTTGCGTGTCCAGAAAGGCGTTATATAAAACCGATGCATAATTATTATTAATTTATAATTATAAAAACTGTATATAATTTACAGGAGTCTTCCTGAAAGGCTTTGAACATTGTAAGATAATTGTCAGACAGTGTTCAAATCATGTTTAGCTGAAACAACTGAAGGACTTTATCTTTACTCTTTTTAATGTTCTGTGATTATTTATGATTTTAATTCATAAATAATCTGTAGTCTGAACCATATGTATGACGATGCTGTGTATGAAGTGTGCTATACGTATAAACCCGCCTTACATATGGAAACGTCTTTGAAACTCTGACGTACCTGATTTCTTTTTCCAGGGAGTAGCAGCTGTAAGAGGACAAAGGGAGACTTAGGTTTGGCAGCTCTGCGGCGGCGTCACAGTGAATACTAATGAGACCAGAACCGAGTCACCTCAGCTCTGCGCACGTTTAATTGTTGACGTGAAAAAGTGCTAATTGACGATTATGCACAGAAAAGAAAAAACAAGATAATGATGCAGGACAAATGCAAAACCCAGTCCGTCGATTCATGTCGATAATATGTTTTTAGACCAGAGAGAGATCAGAGAGAGACCAGAGAGAGACGAGAGACCAGAGAGAGACCAGAGAGAGAGACCAGAGAGAGACCAGAGAGAGACCAGAGAGAGACCAGAGAGAGACCAGAGAGAGAGACCAGAGAGAGACCAGAGAGAGACCAGAGAGAGACCAGAGAGAGACCAGAGAGAGACCAGAGAGAGACCAGAGAGAGACCAGAGAGAGACAGAGAGAGAGAGACCAGAGAGAGACCAGAGAGAGACCAGAGAGAGACCAGAGAGAGAGACCAGAGAGACCAGAGAGAGACCAGAGAGAGACCGGAGAGACCAGAGAGAGACCAGAGAGAGACCAGAGAGAGGCCAGAGAGAGACCAGAGAGAGACCAGAGAGAGACCAGAGAGACCAGAGAGAGACCAGAGAGAGAGACCAGAGAGAGAGACCAGAGAGAGACCAGAGAGAGACCAGAGAGAGACCAGAGAGAGACCAGAGAGAGAGACCAGAGAGACCAGAGAGAGACCAGAGAGAGACCAGAGAGAGAGACCAGAGAGACCAGAGAGACCAGAGAGAGACCAGAGAGAGACCAGAGAGTGACGAGAGAGAGAGACCAGAGAGAGACCAGAGAGAGACCAGAAAGACCAGAGAGAGACCAGAGAGAGACCAGAGAGAGACCAGAGAGAGACCAGAGAGAGACCAGAGAGAGAGACCAGAGAGAGACCAGAGAGAGACCAGAGAGAGAGACCAGAGAGAGACCAGAGAGAGAGAGACCAGCGAGAGACCAGAGAGAGAGAGACGGAGAGACCGAGAGAGAGACCAGAGAGGCCAGAGAGAGACCAGAGAGAGACCAGAGAGAGACCAGAGAGAGACCAGAGAGAGAGCCAGAGAGAGACCAGAGAGAGACCAGAGAGACCAAGAGAGACCAGAGAGAGACCAGAGAGAGACCAGAGAGAGACCAGAGAGAGACCAGAGAGAGACCAGAGAGAGACCAGAGAGAGACCAGAGAGAGACCAGAGAGAGACCAGAGAGAGAGACCAGAGAGACCAGAGAGAGACCAGAGAGACCAGAGAGACCAGAGAGAGACCAGAGAGAGACCAGAGAGTGACGAGAGAGAGAGACCAGAGAGAGACCAGAAAGACCAGAGAGAGACCAGAGGCGGACCAGAGAGAGACCAGAGAGAGAGACCAGAGAGTGACGAGAGAGAGAGACCAGAGAGACCAGAAAGACCAGAGAGAGACCAGAGAGAGACCAGAGAGAGACCAGAGAGAGACCAGAGAGAGAGACCAGAGAGTGACGAGAGAGAGAGACCAGAGAGAGACCAGAAAGACCAGAGAGAGACCAGAGGCGGACCAGAGAGAGACCAGAGAGAGAGACCAGAGAGTGACGAGAGAGAGAGACCAGAGAGAGACCAGAAAGACCAGAGAGAGACCAGAGAGAGACCAGAGATCTATCTATCTATTTCACTTCTGTCCATCTATACTTCAGACTGGGCAGTGCATTCACCCACAATGCAATGCTCATACACAGTAGAACCCACCTCTTTCGACTGGCGAAGCGTTAGCATCCCGTTAGCATCCCGTTAGCAGCGACAGAAAGAAAGCACAAAACCCACAGTTAACGTTAACACACTCACACTTCACTTTTATTATCCAAGTCTAGGATTCGTTGGAACATAGCATCAACAAAAAACAATTAGGCGAGCTGTTTTTAAGCCGCATATTTTTAATTTCCCGGTGACGCCGTTGTTATCGGCCGGAGCGTGGGCGCCGTGGTTTAATGGGCTCAGTCACAGTCAGGTGGACCTCATGCATTTGGATGAGCAGATGCTTCACCTTCACACTCTGACGCAGAGACAGGACAAAAGTGGAACAAGGACCGAGACAAGAAGACGGGATTAAAGCCGGAGGGAGTTTGAAACAACAGCTCTATGTGCAGGCTTTAAAGGGGACATGTTAGGACCCTGTCTGAGTGGTTAGCTGTCTCGGCAAGAAGATCCTGGAGGTGGATCCGTGGGTTTTTAGAGGTGTTCTTTGCCGATGCAGGAGGGTCCAAGGACAATTCAATTCAATATATACAAAATCACAACAGTAGTTATCACGGAGGACTAAACACAACTGTTGATTTGTCCAACACAGATCAGAGAATTGAGTGACAGTGGCTCAGTTGGTAGAGCATTGGCCTTAGAGCCTGAAGGTACGAGCCCACCTCAAGACCTACTTTACGACTCCCACTGATGACTGCTGTCGTTGTGTCCTTGGGCAAGACACTTAACCCCACTTTGCCTGAAGCCCCCACTGAATAATCAAGGCTCCTGTGGACTCACCACCTGCAGGAGGATCAGTGAGCACTGTGGACTGGGTGCAGCTCTGACTGCCACCCCCCGACCCAGAAATGGATCAAGGGGAAGAAAATGGATGGATGGAGATCAGAGAATCAAACCGTTCAAACACAAATACAACAGCAAAAGTCATTGGTGTTGGTCCATAAAGGGCAGAGACCAAGTGTTGACCTGGTTCATCTCCACAGTCCTTTAACTTAGACCTCACCAGGCTCTGACTCCTGCAGCAGGAAACTCTGAGTCCAGGGAGAAAAGTGAGAATCCTCGGGAGATCCACACTGAAGCCGTGATGATCCAGGACACTCCACATTCAACATTTATAGACTTTATCATAAATGTGTTTTTATCGTTGTACATCCTGTGTTTCCTGTGTTTGAGTCTCTGTTGATCTGCAAACTCTCTCTGTGTATCATTCAAATTATTATTATCCTTTATTTTAGCACAATGTTACAGCTTATACTGTTGTGATTTAGGGGTAAATACAAGACTTGAATCATTAAATGCTTCTTCTGCTTCTTCTTCTTCTTCTTGGAGAAACCTCCTAAATGCGGCGAGTAAATGGGGGCGGTGACCTGCGCTCTCTCCTCCCACTGAACCGGCTTCAAATAGAGACAGTGGTTGTCACGGCAACAGATCTGCTGCAAAAGTTAGTTTCAGATCACTGCATTCTTTCACGGTACGTGGGACTCCTCAGGGCTGAGGGTTTTCTGTTTTGTATTTCTTGTGTTTGCACTGATTCTCTGATCTGTGTGGTTAGGGTCGACAACTGCTGTGATTTAGAGCCTTTTGAAATCACGGCTCAAAACTAAATCATTCAGACTGGCTTTAAAGACTTTAGTTTCTCATTCCAGGAGAGACATTTCTTTTCTAAAACAAGATCATTTTTGCTTCGTCCCGTTGGAAAATCATGTTTCAAGTCAGTAATGTTTATTTATGTAGCACATTGTACAGACCACGGTACAGACAAAACACTTTCCAATAGTTCAGACATGGTTCCATTCTCTCCACAGTGATGACGGAAGACCTGAACACACTGCTCCATCAAAGCCTCCGACCAAACATTCATTTATTTATTTATTTGACAGAGACAGTGTACATTAATGAACATTACCCTGGACATCATCCATTCACCCTAAATGGATCTATGGAACATATTTTCGTGGTAGGGGAAACCGGAGCACCTGGAGGAAACCTACAAACATGAGGAGAACATGCAAACTCCACTCAGACAGACCCTGTTCCGACCGGGATTCGAACCCAGGACCTTCTTTGCTGAGACGCGAGAGGGCTAACCACTCAGCCATTCATGATCACTTGAATGTTTTAATGATTTTAATGTGATGCCGTGAGTGTTGTAAAGCGCTCTATAAATAAAAAGTGTTCTGGCTGCTTTGGGGAAGAGCAGAGGTTGGTCTTACCCATCTCCTCCAACTCCGAGGTCATGGATTTGGATCGGAGCGCGATGGCCGGAGTGCTCAGCCTCTTGCTCTGCTGAGAAACTGGGAACAGGAAAAGACAGAACAAAGAACATTTCAATTGTGGACGTTTGTTTTTGTTTCAGCGAACGGCAAAGTCAGGAGTCATTGATTATTTATCACAGAGCAGAGGAAAGATGTACTGCCCGAATGTGACAAGAGTAAGAGGAATGATGGGAAATGTCAGTGTTGCATCACAAGTATAACATGTCTAGCTTTAGCATAATAAAGAAGCTAGTATAAAGTCTAGCTTTAGCATAATAAAGAAGCTAGTATAATCTCTAGCTTTAGCATAATAAAGAAGCTAGTATAAACTCTATCTTTAGCATAATAAAGAAGCTAGTATAAACTCTATCTTTAGCATAATAAAGAAGCTAGTATAAAGTCTAGCTTTAGCATAATAAAGAAGCTAGTATAATCTCTAGCTTTAGCATAATAAAGAAGCTAGTATAATCTCTAGCTTTAGCATAATAAAGAAGCTAGTATAATCTCTAGCTTTAGCATAATAAAGAAGCTAGTATAATCTCTAGCTTTAGCATAATAAAGAAGCTAGTATAATCTCTAGCTTTAGCATAATAAAGAAGCTAGTATAATCTCTAGCTTTAGCATAGTAAACAGGTATAGCGTGTGGGGTCAGGTGTTGTTCCTGCTGCACTTTGATAATCTAATCTAATCTTTTTAATTCCGTTGAGGACGTGTAACTCGCTTCTTGCTCTTATTAACTTTGGCACAACATTTTTATCCAGATGGACTTTTCTCAGGCTCAAAAACAGCTTTAGAGGTTTTTGTGATCACTGAAGCGACGTGGATCTGCCAGAACTCTTCACTACAGTCACGCAGCGACACACGGCTCTTTCTTCTGGGTTTGTGACCGATAAAAGCTTTGATGTGATCCAATGTTAAAGCTCTGATCACTTTGGTCAAACCATCATGTTCTAATGGATAGTGCAAAGGTCTCCCATCACAGCACTAACCAGGCCCTGCCCTGCACAGCTACAGAGCACAGGATCCTGCTTCATTTGCAGGTTTGGCCAATTTGACTTATTTTTGAAGGAATGGCACCGTTTTTTTTAATAAACTAGTAAAGTTGAACAATCAGTTCTCACTGAAGGAGATTCTGTTTTAACATTTAAATGATTAAATCCACTAAATATAATTAACGTAAAGAAGTCTATTCTTGTTATTTAGTTTGTGTAATTATATACTCAGTGTAAATCTGAGTTGTTTATTACACAGTTGCTAGGCAACATCCTGCTGTGATCTCTAACATTCAGGAAGTTAAATCATGAATATCAAGTATCAAGGCTAAACCAGGACAGTGTTTGGTAAATCTAAATGAAATCTAAAACTCTATAATCTTTTATAGAGTTTCTCTAAAAGTTTCTCACTTTTCTTCCGCGAGCCGTCGTCCATGTCGGGGTTACGTGTTACCATGACGACCTTCACCATGAGGCTGTTGCCTCCCTGTCGGATCATGTTCACCACCTGTCGATGTCCGACCTTCACCACGTTCTGACCGTTCACCTGAAGACCAGAGCAAACACGTTCACCCATGACCCTCTCCCATCCACCCATGACCCTCTCCCATCCACCCATGACCCTCTCCCATCCACCCATGACCCTCTCCCATCCACCCATGATCCTCTCCCATCCACCCATGACCCTCTCCCATGCCCATGACCTCTCCATCCCCATGACCCTCTCCCATCCACCCCTCACCATACCCATCCCACCCATGACCCTCTCCCATCCACCCATGACCCTCTCCCATCTGCCCATGACCCTCTCCCATCCACCCATGACCTCTCCCATCTGCCCATGACCCTCCCCATCCACCCATGACCCTCTCCCATCGACCCATGACCCTCTCCCATCCACCCATGACCCTCTCCATCCACCCATGACCCTCTCCCATCGACCCATGACCCTCTCCCATCTGCCCATGACCCTCTCCCATCCACCCATGACCCTCTCCCATCGACCCATGACCCTCTCCCATCCACCCATGACCCTCTCCCATCCACCCATGACCCTCTCCCATCGACCCATGACCCTCTCCCATCGACCCAGACCCTCTCCCATCCACCCATGACCCTCTCCCATCCACCCATGACCCTCTCCCATCCACCCATGACCCTCTCCCATCTGCCCATGACCCTCTCCCATCCACCCATGACCCTCTCCCATCGACCCATGACCCTCTCCCATCCACCCATGACCCTCTCCCATCCACCCATGACCCTCTCCCATCGACCCATGACCCTCTCCCATCGACCCAGACCCTCTCCCATCCACCCATGATCCTCTCCCATCCACCCATGACCCTCTCCCATCCACCCATGACCCTCTCCCATCCACCCATGACCCTCTCCCATCGACCCATGACCCTCTCCCATCGACCCAGACCCTCTCCCATCGACCCATGACCCTCTCCCATCCACCCATGACCCTCTCCCATCTGCCCATGACCCTCTCCCATCGACCCAGACCCTCTCCCATCGACCCATGACCCTCTCCCATCCACCCATGACCCTCTCCCATCTGCCCATGACCCTCTCCCATCCACCCATGACCCTCTCCCATCCACCCATGATCCTCTCCCATCGACCCATGACCCTCTCCCATCGACCCAGACCCTCTCCCATCCACCCATGACCCTCTCCCATCGACCCAGACCCTCTCCCATCCACCCATGACCCTCTCCCATCCACCCATGACCCTCTCCCATCGACCCAGACCCTCTCCCATCCACCCATGACCCTCTCCCATCGACCCAGACCCTCCTCCCATCCACCCATGACCCTCTCCCATCGACCCATGACCCTCTCCCATCTGCCCAGACCCTCTCTCCCATCTGCCCAGACCCTCTCCCATCGACCCAGACCCTCTCCCATCGACCCAGACCCTCTCCCATCCACCCATGACCCTCTCCCATCGACCCAGACCCTCTCCCATCCACCCATGACCCTCTCCCATCGACCCAGACCCTCTCCCATCCACCCATGACCCTCTCCCATCCACCCATGACCCTCTCCCATCCACCCATGACCCTCTCCCATCCACCCATGACCCTCTCCCATCTGCCCAGACCCTCTCCCATCGACCCAGACCCTCTCCCATCGACCCAGACCCTCTCCCATCCACCCATGACCCTCTCCCATCGACCCAGACCCTCTCCCATCCACCCATGACCCTCTCCCATCGACCCAGACCCTCTCCCATCGACCCATGACCCTCTCCCATCTGCCCAGACCCTCTCCCATCCACCCATGACCCTCTCCCATCGACCCATGACCCTCTCCCATCCACCCATGACCCTCTCCCATCTGCCCAGACCCTCTCCCATCTGCCCAGACCCTCTCCCATCTGCCCAGATCCTCTCCCATCCACCCATGACCCTCTCCCATCGACCCATGACCCTCTCCCATCTGCCCAGCCCCTCTCCCATCTGCACAGACCCTCTCCCATCGACCCATGACCCTCTCCCATCCACCCATGACCCTCTCCCATCGACCCATGACCCTCTCCCATCTTCCCAGACCCTCTCCCATTCACCCATGACCCTCTCCCATCCGCACAGACCCTCTCCCATCCACCCATGACCCTCTCCCATCCGCACAGACCCTCTCCCATCTGCCCAGACCCTCTCCCATCCACCCATGACCCTCTCCCATCTGCCCAGACCCTCTCCCATCTGCCCAGACCCTCTCCCATCCACCCATGACCCTCTCCCATCGACCCATGACCCTCTCCCATCTGCCCAGACCCTCTCCCATCTGCCCAGACCCTCCCCCATCTGCCCAGACCCTCTCCCATTCACCCATGACCCTCTCCCATCCGCACAGACCCTCTCCCATCGACCCATGACCCTCTCCCATCGACCCAGACCCTCTCCCATCGACCCATGACCCTCTCCCATCCACCCATGACCCTCTCCCATCGACCCATGACCCTCTCCCATCGACCCATGACCCTCTCCCATCCACCCATGACCCTCTCCCATCGACCCATGACCCTCTCCCATCCGCACAGAACCTCTCCCATCTGTCCAGACCCTCTCCCATCGACCCAGACCCTCTCCCATCCACCCATGACCCTCTCCCATCCACCCATGACCCTCTCCCATCCACCCATGACCCTCTCCCATCGACCCAGACCCTCTCCCATCGACCCAGACCCTCTCCCATCGACCCATGACCCTCTCCCATCGACCCATGATCCTCTCCCATCCACCCATGACCCTCTCCCATCGACCCATGACCCTCTCCCATCTGCCCAGACCCTCTCCCATCCACCCATGACCCTCTCCCATCCGCACAGACCCTCTCCCATCCACCCATGACCCTCTCCCATCGACCCATGACCCTCTCCCATCTGCCCAGACCCTCTCCCATCTGCCCAGACCCTCTCCCATTCACCCATGACCCTCTCCCATCCGCACAGACCCTCTCCCATCCACCCATGACCCTCTCCCATTCACCCATGACCCTCTCCCATCGACCCATGACCCTCTCCCATCGACCCAGACCCTCTCCCATCCACCCATGACCCTCTCCCATCGACCCATGACCCTCTCCCATCGACCCATGACCCTCTCCCATCCACCCATGACCCTCTCCCATCGACCCATGACCCTCTCCCATCCGCACAGAACCTCTCCCATCGACTCGCCCAGACCCTCTCCCATCTGCCCAGACCCTCTCCCATCCACCCATGACCCTCTCCCATCCACCACCCATGACCCTCTCCCATCGACCCTGACCCTCTCCCATCGACCCAGACCCTCTCCCATCGACCCAGACCCTCTCCCATCCACCCAGACCCTCTCCCATCTGCCCAGACCCTCTCCCATCCACCCATGACCCTCTCCCATCCGCACAGACCCTCTCCCATCGACCCAGACCCTCTCCCATCCACCCAGACCCTCTCCCATCCACCCATGACCCTCTCCCATCGACCCATGACCCTCTCCCATCCGCACAGAACCTCTCCCATCCACCCATGACCCTCTCCCATCTGCCCAGACCCTCTCCCATCCACCCATGACCCTCTCCCATCGACCCATGACCCTCTCCCATCCACCCATGACCCTCTCCCATCCACCCATGTCCCTCTCCCATCGACCCATGACCCTCTCCATCCACCCATGACCCTCTCCCATCCACCCAGACCCTCTCCCATCGACCCAGACCCTCTCCCATCGACCCAGACCCTCTCCCATCTGCCCAGACCCTCTCCCATCGACCCATGACCCTCTCCCTCCTTGAGTAGTGTGTTTCTTACTTCTATGAGGAAGTCTCCCATCCTGAGTCCGGCCCTCCAGGCCACACCGCCCTCATCCACTGACTCCAAGTACTGCAGCGCGGGGAAGGCTGGGGTGGGCGTGAACTCCTCGATGGGCGTCTGGGCTGAAGAAACCAAACAGAAGATAAGACACCGTTACATTCCTAAGCTGCATATTTAGGACAGATTTAGCTTTAGTGAGAGTTCAGACTGGGAGACTGAAACCTATGACCATCTGTTCAGATACGGACTCTGGTCTCGGCCCGTTACGGACCAATCTGATCAAAGACTAAAACTCTCCTCAAACTGTGCCTTGCTTCAACTCCTCTCCTGTACCGTCCCCATCACATCAACACCTCCCCGTCCAACACCTCCCCGTCCAACACCTCCCCGTCCAACACCTCCCCGTCCAACACCTCCCCGTCCAACACCTCCCCGTCCAACACCTGCCGTCCAACACCTCCCCGTCCAACACCTGCCCGTCCAACACCTCCCCGTCCAACACTCCCGCCAACACCCCCGTCCAACACCTCCCCGTCCAACACCTCCCCGTCCAACACCTCCCCGTCCAACACCTCCCCGTCCAACACCTCCCCGTCCAACACCTCCCCGTCCAACACCTCCCCGTCCAACACCCCCGTCCAACACCTCCCCGTCCAACACCTCCCCGTCCAACACCTGCCCGTCCAACACCTCCCCGTCCAACACCTCCCCTCCAACACCTCTCCGTCCAACACCTCCCCGTCCAACACCCTCCCCGTCCAACACCTCCCCGTCCAACACCTCCCCGTCCAACACCTCCCCGTCCAACACCTCCCCGTCCAACACCTCCCCGTCCAACACCTCCCCGTCCAACACCTCCCCGTCCAACACCTCCCCGTCCAACACCTCCCCGTCCAACACCTGCCCGTCCAACACCTCCCCTCCAACACCTGCCCGTCCAACACCTCCCCGTCCAACACCTCCCCGTCCAACACCTCCCCGTCCAACACCTCCCCGTCCAACACCTCCCCGTCCAACACCTCCCCGTCCAACACCTCCCCGTCCAACACCTCCCGTCCAACACCTCCCCGTCCAACACCTCCCCGTCCAACACCTCCCCGTCCAACACCTCCCCGTCCAACACCTCCCCGTCCAACACCTGCCCGTCCAACACCTCCCGTCCAACACCTGCCCGTCCAACACCTCCCCGTCCAACACCTCCCCGTCCAAACACCTCCCCGTCCAACACCTCCCCGTCCAACACCTCCCCGTCCAACATATTCTGTTTTATTTTGGGCTTGTACCTTTGGCTCCTCTGAGGACGAAGCCAAAGCCCTCGCTGTCCTTCTTCTGCAGCAGCACCGTCTTCTCTTTGATGATGTAGTCACTGCACACAACACACAAAACACACAACGACACACAACAAATCAGCATCACATGATACAGTGTGTGATCATGGAGATCACATGATACAGTGTGTGATCATAGAGATCACATGATACAGTGTGTGATCATAGAGATCACATGATACAGTGTGTAATCATAGAGATCACATGATACAGTGTGTGATCATAGAGATCACATGATACAGTGTGTGATCATAGAGATCACATGATACAGTGTGTGATCATAGAGATCACATGATACAGTGTGTGATCATAGAGATCACATGATACAGTGTGTAATCATAGAGATCACATGATACAGTGTGTGATCATGGAGATCACATGATACAGTGTGTGATCATAGAGATCACATGATACAGTGTGTAATCATAGAGATCACATGATACAGTGTGTAATCATAGAGATCACATGATACAGTGTGTGATCATAGAGATCACATGATACAGTGTGTGATCATAGAGATCACATGATACAGTGTGTGATCATAGAGATCACATGATACAGTGTGTAATCATAGAGATCACATGATACAGTGTGTGATCATGGAGATCACATGATACAGTGTGTGATCATAGAGATCACATGATACAGTGTGTGATCATAGAGATCACATGATACAGTGTGTAATCATAGAGATCACATGATACAGTGTGTGATCATAGAGATCACATGATACAGTGTGTAATCATAGAGATCACATGATACAGTGTGTGATCATAGAGATCACATGATACAGTGTGTGATCATAGAGATCACATGATACAGTGTGTAATCATAGAGATCACATGATACAGTGTGTGATCATAGAGATCACATGATACAGTGTGTGATCATAGAGATCACATGATACAGTGTGTAATCATAGAGATCACATGATACAGTGTGTGATCATAGAGATCACATGATACAGTGTGTGATCATGGAGATCACATGATACAGTGTGTGATCATGGAGATCACATGATACAGTGTGTGATCATGGAGATCACATGATACAGTGTGTGATCATGGAGATCACATGATACAGTGTGTGATCATGGAGAGAGCGAGACAGAAACTGAGGCTTCCACAACATTATGCCACAAAGAAAAACACCTTTGTTTTCACACAGTCTGTTCAGTGCAGCTCACATTAACCATTCTACAAACTAATGTCTCCATGATTTAGAAAATAACATTCAATTCAGGATTTTGTTCTGAATTATAACTGTTTCATCCGTTTACACAGACCCTCTCCGTCTCTCTCCCATCCAACCAGACCCTCTCCGTCTCTCTCCCATCCAACCAGACCCTCTCCGTCTCTCTCCCATCCAACCAGACCCTCTCCGTCTCTCTCCCATCCAACCAGACCCTCTCCGTCTCTCTCCCATCCAACCAGACCCTCTCCGTCTCTCTTCCATCCAACCAGACCCTCTCCGTCTCTCTTCCATCCAGAGCGTTTTAAACTTCCCAGTCTGGATAAGTTGTACAGTTGGTTTGAAAGTTAGGTATCTCAGCTTTAATGTTTCCAAATAAAGCCTGCAGTAAAAGAAAGTGTTGTCCTAAAACAAAGAGACAACAATATCACAAATAACTCAATCCTTTCAATGTGTGTTTGTGAAGCCTTCAGTCCAGAGAGACTGTTGTGATGATGTCAGAGACTGTTGTGATGATGTCAGAGACTGTTGTGATGATGTCAGAGACTTCCTGCTTCTGGACAGAGCAGTCGCATTCTCTTGCTGCTCCTCGCTTGCTGCTTTTTTATCTCCTTTAATCATTTTTGCTTACATTTTTATTCCACAAAACACGGATTACTCCTTTTTACAAACTTCAACACAAGACTTGTGGAATTTACCTAACTTACAGCATGTCGGGAGGACGGGAAAGAACAAAACTTTGTGACGGCTGTTTTTCACTCAAACAGGAGCTAAAACTTCTTCAAGACCGAATGTTTGTACTTGAATCAGAATTGGGGCTGAACACAACAATACCAGTGAAAGGAAATGGACCAAATGGACAGAACGTAAGTTATGATGACGCTATTTCATTTCCCAAAATCAACAGAGACAATTGTTGGAACACATATGGTGCCAAGCCCAAACAAGGCAAAGCTAATGATAACAAGAGTGTCATAATGCCACAGCAAAAATCTTTAATTACAAGAAACCGCTTTTCACCACTTTTGGAAGATGAATCAGCAGTAGTCTCTACAACAAAGCTGCTAAAAACTGCAGCGCCTCCACCAAGGACAAACTGTGTCCTTATCGGAGATGGCTCGGTGAAAAATGTAAACATGGAGTCCATGCTCACTGTCTCAGTTCACTCTGCTAAAGTTGCTGAGATAAGAACTCTCCTGCCTAAAGTGTTATCTGAGAACAGTGGTGTGCGTACATTATTGATCCACACGGGGGCGGTAGATATCTATGAGAAGGCAAGCGAGAAGTTACGAATGGATTTAACGCTGTTACTGGATGAGCTCAAGAAAATGGACATAACAATTTTTCTTAGTGGCCCACTGCCAAATATAGATGGAAAAATGGAGAAGTTTAGCCGTCTGTATCAGCTAAATACATTCCTACTCAATGAGTGTTCACGCAGAGGACTTGGCTTCATTGAAAACTTTAATCTGTTCTGGAATAGGCACGAGCTTTTTGAAGAAAAAGGCCCACATCTGAACAACTACGGAGTAAAAGTGCTGATGGATAACTTTGCATCTGCCCTAAGACCTCAGCCTGCGCAGCGCGTGCAGCCGTCGAAAGGGAGAAAGAAGAAGCAAAGGGCACAAACATCACGACCATCTCCACCGACTCCCGAGGTCTCTGCACCCCCACCGCCTCAAAAGAACTCCACTCCTCCACGATTCAAGAAGAACTCAACACCTCCAAGGTTCCAAAAGAACTCAACACCTCCACGGCTCCGAAAGAGCTCAACGCCTCCATCACCAGCACCATCAGCAGCTGCCACATCTTCATCAGCGCCATCAGCATATACAGCACCACCAGCAGCAGTGGATACAGCAGCAGCAGTGGATACAGCCGCAGCAGTGGCTGCTCCATCATCTTCAGCAGCAGCAGTGGCTGCTCCATCATCTTCACCAGCAGCAGTGGATACAGCCGCAGCAGTGGCTGCTCCATCATCTTCAGCAGCAGCAGTGGCTGCTCCATCATCTTCAGCAGCAGCAGTGGATACAGCCGCAGCAGTGGCTGCTCCATCATCTTCAGCAGCAGCAGTGGCTGCTCCATAATCTTCAGCAGCAGCAGTGGCTGCTCCATCATCTTCAGCAGCAGCAGTGGCTGCTCCATCATCCTCAGCAGCACCTTCCCCACCTACAGCTCCCGTGAAGCTTCCCCCACTGCTCCAGGCTACAGTCAGGCCTGTACTGGGGGTTCCTCAACCACCTCTGTCTCCACCAAAGACTCCCTCATCACCTTCCATGGACCCGGCTTGGGTCCCCCCCGCTACATCCACTCCATCTAGGGAAAATGAGGACGACCTTTCCCTTTGTTTTCTATCCCCGCCTTCACTACTGGAATTACCGGAACACTCGGCAGGCATGATAAGATCGGCGATGAAGACTATTCCTCTCACACCCACTGTAGCCAGATCAAGAGTCCTATCTAACATTCAAAACTACTCCCCATACGTACCTCCAAAGCCACCTAGGGCGTCCAACTCAAATTCTCCCACAAAATCCACCCGTCCCTCCTCTAACCCCATAAGTATTCCACCCCCCCCTCCTGCTCATTTAGCCCACCTCCCCCCCCCTAACTCAGCACCAAGAAACCCTCCACCTCCACTCCCCCCTCGTCCACCACCCAACTCAGCCTGCCCCTCCCCTAACCCATCACCAAAAACCCATCCACCTTCAACCCCCCCCCGTCCAACTCCCAAGAACCACCCACCTCTCCATCCTCCTCCCCCGCCTTCCCCTTCCCCTCTTTTCTCTAAACACTAGGATGCACAGGGTCTCTGCTTCGCAGCCACTGGCAGTCTAGTTAGAGGAGAGACCTGGCTGGGGCCCTGTCATGAAGCCACCTGTGCCATTCCCTTAGTGATAACACAAAGAATACATAACAGAAAAACATCTGGAGTTAATCAGTCTAATCTGGAAAATCTAATTCTTGTTCCGTGTAAGAATCAGCCGACCGCAACCGCTGATACTGAAACTTTGAAACTTGCTACGCTTAATGTCAGATCTCTTTGTAACAAGTCTTTTTTAATCAATAATTTTATTTCTTCTCATAATCTTGATCTTATGTTCATGGCTGAAACTTGGCTTGACCAAAATTCAGAAAATGCAGTTTTAATAGAAGCATCACCACCAAATTTCAAGTTTGAATCTGAAATACGGGAAAACAAAAAAGGAGGAGGCTTAGCTGCCATTTTTAGAGACCACTTTGTCTCCCATAGAATGTCTCTTGGGAAGTTTTCGTCATTTGAATATGTGTCTTTTAAAATACAACAAAAACAATCTCCTCCAATACTCTTCGTTGTCCTATACAAGCCACCGCAGTCATGTCACAGTTTTATTGATCATTTTACCGAGTTGCTTTCAGTTGTATGCACAGATTTTGATAGTTTGGTTATTACAGGTGATTTTAATATTCATGTGGATAATGTTGATGACAGAAATGCAAATGAGCTGAGTTCTGTACTTGAATCCTTTGATCTCACTCAGCACGTAAGTGGCCCCACCCACAGCAGAGGGCACACTCTAGATCTGTTAGTTACAAAGGGGGTGATTATTTCAAATGTAAACGTGGTCGATGTTGCTCTTTCGGATCATTTCTGTGTTTTTTTTGACATGTGTTTCACTAACAAACCACCAGTGGACTCTGCAACTGTTCGAAGAAGGCGCATAAATGAAAATACGAGTGAACTATTTATGGAAATGATAAACTTTGAGAATGCATCGTATTCTACTGTAGATGAACTGTTTAACTCTGTCACCTCTAGTGTTTTGAATGTTCTGGATACCGTTGCCCCTGTGAAGGTTAAAAT